ATTCCTACTAAAAAGTTTCTAATACTAATTTAACAGCATCTTTTTTAACCATGCAATGTTACTATTTTTTAAAAGTTGCTTTGTAAGTTACAGTATTGTAACAAAAACTAATTTATTTTAGTTCACAAATATGCATATTCTTTATGTTGATTTATTAATTCAATTTTTGCTACAGGGTATTTTACAGAATTTATTTATTATTAATTTTTTTTTCTTGAATTTCATAATTGATGGCCATTTTTTATTTCTTGATTCAATTCTTGCTTATACAGTATTTAAATGTTTGAAGATTAAAAAAAAATATCATTTCTATTACCAAATTTTACATTGGGGCCATTTTTACCTACCTGTCATATGGGGCCATTTTTACCGGGGCCATTTTTTCCGGGGCCATTTTTTCCGGGGCCATTTTTTCTGGGGCCATTCTTACCTACATTCGTAAAGGAATACCATTAGCATACCATTCTATATATAAATGTATTCATTTATAGATGGTTGGAAGAGGTAGAGCCAAGTAGCCTATACTCAAGACTTGTGTACCAAATATACTATTACTAAAGTGATATTGCAGACTGAGGGGAAAAGCCCTAGCAGTTAGCAAGACTTAGATGAATTGTACTTCGAATGCATTGTTACAGTGATAAAGAAACTGGGAGTTAGCACAACACTTTGTCATTGGATTTACGAACTTTTATTTAATTAAACCCAGTTTATTTTATATATATTTTGTTCTTTGTCTTATTTTTGGTCAATGTCATGACATTGATTTAAAGAAATATATGTATATTGAGATATGCAAAGTTTAGAAGGTTAGAAGTTAAAGGAGATGACTTCCTTATGTTGTGGTCATATTGGACTGTATTATCATTAAAAACCATTCAACAAAACATATAACACATCAAAATTAGGTTTCAAAACAAAACACATCGAAATTATTAAACTTTCTACTTCGGTGCATGAATATAACATAATTTTGGGATATATGAGATTTACATAACATTTGAGAATGTACTAAATTTAAAACAGAAATATTTTACATTTTAATCAGCAATCTATCAGAAATACGGGGATTGGTTATACTGTAAAGCCTTCTGAACCCCTGCAATACTAAAACTGGGATCAAACAGGCAGTGAATATTCCATTTTGATTTAGTGTAAATGTTTTTTTACATATTTTTATTTTATTTGAATTCTTTTTATTTTGTATGATTCATATGTTACATTTTCCACAGAAAGATAAATTAATGTCTGAACTGATATTTTATGGGTTTCATATCTTTCTATACAAAACAGATATCATAAGTCATCTATTGTCCGACTGTGTGCATTGAACATTTGACGACGACGATAATGTCTCCAAATTCCCAACCGTATCTTACTGTAGGCTACTGGCCTCACTTGACACTTCACATCAAAGGGCCTGTTAATTAATCTTGCACGGCTTCCTCCTCATCATGATCATCTTCTTCATCATCATAATTATTAATTGTCCATAGCAAAGTAGGGAAAAACTATGAATTCAGAGTGTATTCAATAGTAGACGTCTCATAATGCACAAAGTGTATTTCTTTCAAAGCATCCAAAAAAAAAAACTTTTCGAAGAAGAAGCCAAAGACTCCCCCACCCCTATCTAAAATTCCAGCAACTTCCAGCAACAAAACAAGCTCGCTGTCTTCTCATGACCCCTCCCACCATGGGAAACAATCTGTGTGATAGCAATGGTAAACTGTTGATCCGCGCTTGGCATGTATTTAAGAGAAGTGCTTAAAAAAGGTATATTTACAGTATATTTATTTATAGAAAATAATGTTGCATATTATAACTATCAGGAATAAATATACAGTTAAAGGCATTTTTTTGTATTGGCTTGGTAATTTAGTGAAGAAGTGAATATATGTCCTAGGCAAGTGTATGGAACCTTTAGTCTGATTTTCTGCAAAAGCTCACTAAGTGTAGTAATTGACCTACTTGATTTGGATAAAAGATAAGCCCACTAGACACTAAATTTCAACTGAAGAAAAAATGCATCCTAGTTTCTTAAACAGTCATTTTAAATTTGTTTTGTATTGGCTTGGTAATTTAGTGAAGAAGTGAATATATGTCCTAGGCAAGTGTATGGAACCTTTAGTCTGATTTTCTGCAAAAGCTCACTAAGTGTAGTAATTGACCTACTTGATTTGGATAAAAGATAAGCCCACTAGACACTAAATTTCAACTGAAGAAAAAATGCATCCTAGTTTCTTAAACAGTCATTTTAAATTTTACACTAAAGAGAAGAAATAATGTAAACTATCATTAACAGTTCCTGAGTTATGTCAAAGAGAAAAGTAGGTTTAGTCTAAACATACAGGTGGAATTTAGCCCTTTTTTTCTATTCAAAACCAAAGTAACTTGTGGTCTGTCAAAAAGTGGTCAGATTGAAAACTGACTAACTGTACCAGTGGCTACTGTACGCCCCTGATAAAATAACATCCAAAACAAGTCTTATGTTTTATTAGGCCTGTATTGAAAAAATGTAAACTTTTCACAAAACTCGGCCAAACTTTTCAAACGTTATGGCCAGGCGAATTTTGATACGGCCAGATTTGAGGAATCTGGCTGTCAAAAAGGCCAAATGGCAACCCCTGGTTGTAATAATGTTGTTCAATATGTATAGCGCCCTCTAGACAATAAGGACTTAAAACTTTCCAAAACTTTTTTTGTGGACCAAAATGAATAAAACACACAATAACAAATTATAGCAAGCAACTAGTTTATTAATGTAACATAGTTTTTAATACACTACACAAATTTTCAGGTACAGGTTTCTGAATTCTTGTATCCAACAAGAGATATAAACACATACTTTTGAGTATTTTGTAATTCATTACTTTTTTTTCACATAATTGCACAATTGAAAATCATTGAGGCTGAAAGTTGTTAGAAATTTTGGCAACCCCATTTACATTTATGGGTCTCGCCCATAATTGACTCAGGACTGGCCCAGGATTGGAAACTGCAATTTCTACAACACAAACATTTGCAGTACACAATGACATTGGCGATTACTACAATTCATTTATAAAAAGGCAACATCATTCAAGATATCTTTATTTGAACTGCAATGGGATGAAGAATTGGTAAACAAAAGTGAACTTTGTGTGATGTTATAATTTAATCCCTATAACATGACATTTGTGATTCAGGGTTTTATACATTTTGATTCTCAGATGGACCATAATGTGTAATTTAACATGACTGAGCCTGGCTAAAAATGAATAATTTTGGACTCGCTCTACCAACTAAGTATAAATGATATCAGAGTAATGTATACTTTGATAATTTAAAAAATATATTCAGATTGCACAAATAAGTTGGCCATCCGCAAACTACTTACAAACTTTCAGAAACACGGAACAAAATATTCAATTTGATAAATGTTAGAAAAACATGGATTTTAGAGTTGAACCATCTTAAGTTATAATTTATATTTTTGTGGAATAGCAAGCTGAAATATTTTTAGCACTTAAATGGATCAAAATAATCTTAAGCACTTCTAGTATTTCTGTTGAGCAGCTTAGGTAGCCCGCCAGAAAGGAAGAACTTCATGATCATGCTTGGCATACCGGTATTTATAGATCTTGAATGTTATAGTAGTAAATATTTTTTGAGAATATTGCGAAGTAATTGATGCAGACCTTTTTTTGTAATTTTTAATTTTTTACATAGGAAAAAATAATATGAAAATCAAATAATTTTACAGTAAAATTTTCATCAAGATCACTACCTGAGATTAACAAGCAAGTTGACCTAAAATTCTGGCATCAAATTTTTTACCGGAATCTCAAATATAGTATTGACCACGTATACTGACTTTAAATAAGTATTTTGCACTTTGACATAAATAGTAAAAATTTGACATGAACTTTTTTATTTTTAAAGTTTGACCTCAGACCCTAATCCATTTTGCAATTTGACATGAAGGAAATTTGTTATTCAACCTCAATACTGTATCAGCTTTTGCACTTCGTCCTTAACATTAACATCATTTTGAATTTTAATCCCAAAAATTATGGAGATGAATTGATATTATACATATTTTTACACTCAAAAATTAAATTGCATTAAATTTGTTTTGTAGTGGATTTAAAATATACTACCGGTATATCAAATTAGATTAATGTTCATGGATGGAATGACGCAGCTTCCAAAAAAATATTTTCATTTTTGATTGATTTGCATATTATAGTTTTTCTTGACCCAAATTACAAAAATATAAAAACCTTAATGCTTTAAATAATTTTACATTAATTTTTCTAATGTGAGAGATGGCACGAAAGTACTGAGTACTAGTATATGCCTATGAGTTAATACGCAAGCAAGCTTTTTAATAGACACATTCTGCTAGGTTGGTCACGTAATGGGTATAAATTGTAAACGACATCTCAACTGATGCTTGGTAATGGGAAACTGCGGAGTGTTTCTGTTGTAAAGCACATTGATGTTGAATAGTGTTGGTTGGAATGCCAGTAAACCATACCAAATTGATTAGAAATTGAAAATTTTGCCATATTGGTTTGCGAATGCTGCAAAAGTTACTGGTCCCAAACATTGAGACATTTCAAGGAATGCTAGGCCTAGGCCCCTGCATATATACGGCCTGTTTAAGTATGCACGAGAGTCTTTAATTCATGAACTGCGATTTTGACACATACGATTTCTAGGCCAGCTAAGGTTTACAAAGGATCACATAAATTACAAAGCACAGAGAATGGCTACAATAAGTAAATTAAACACTAATTTGAACAATTGGAATGCCTTTCCAATTGCCATTTTTTTCTCACGTTAACAGTGGGTGGTTGCTTTTGCAACATAACATTACCTTTCCCTATATTTTCAGACTGGATAGCACATAAATTATACCCACTACATGTCATGTGACCGTCTGTAAACAAAGCTTGCGAGATGTGTCTGTTAATATTTATTCAATTCCTTGATTTTATATCTGTTAACAATTGCACAAGATTTGCAAAATACTCAAAAAAGGTTTTAAATCAGGACTTTTGTTATATGATAGAATCCAAAATGATTCATATATGTTTTGGCTATTGTGACCAAATCTATAATAGTAAATTAAAAGGACAATAACATTTTTCTATATAATGGAAAGAAAGTTGCTTAATGAATGAAAAATGAAAAAAAGTAAAGTATAAACATATCAAACAGGAAAAGAAAACTTTTCCATTTTATCAAAATTCTTGTGATTATATACTGTTGTTTATCTTATCTTAATAATAACATTAAAACATTAATAATGTCCCATTTCAATCAAGTGGTACAGCATGATTACAGTAAAAATATAAAATGTTAACAATAATGGATTGTCAAAAAAAATATGATGGTACCTCATGAAATATAGTCATCTCCTTAAAGCTTCTCAAATTTAGATAATTCTTGATTTTTTAGTGAAATTATTGAAATGTTATCAATAAAAACTAACTGGTTTTTGGTGAAATAGAAAAATACAAAAAAAAAAAGATTGTCTAAACAATTTATACATTTTTTCACTGATTTGGACAAAAGTTTATAAGTTAATGGTTTGCTTCAATGGATATTGGAGCCATGTTTCAAACATGTTTCTCCTTCAATATAATAATGTCATGCATCTTTATTAACATCCTGATAAATATAATCATGCATTTTATATACAGTTTAATGCAGGCCTGCTGAACAATAGGAATTAATACTTATAACAAGAGAAGGTATTTGTGGAAGTCAATTAATTGGAATATTTAATCTCAACTTAATTTTTGTCACATTTGTTGTAGTTTCTTAATGCTGAATTAATAAAATATAAAATAAAACATAATGAAATTAGTCATTACTTTTCAATATTGTCTTTTTAGAAATTGTTGTTAATGTTCTTTTGGTTTTTTTTTTTAAAGTAAAATATTTCAAATATTTAAGGTAATTTTAGTTACAAAATAAAACATTGCATACTTTCTAGGTCAAATTTAAATTTTAAAATTGAGCTGTTTTATCTTGTCTAGATTTATTTGTATCATGAAATCGTACGTTTTTTCCCATTGGACCAATCAGCAACAAGTTTGGTTGGTTCGAACCAATCGAAAGCATACATACTTAACCCGAATAACATGTTCCGTGCGCGATGTGAACGCAGTGTTCAAAACGTAAAAACTCAACGTAGCTTAAGACTGGACTATACTTCCTAAGGTTTTGTGCACAGTTACTATCAAGTTTTATGATAAAAAAAATGTGATTTGCCCTTAATATGGCCATGATGATAGCAATATTAGACCCATGTTAAATATACAGGAATTTGCCACATAAAATTGTGTGTGAACATAACTTAAGTCTCAATGTGAGGCTTTTTGTAAAATTTTTTTTTTTTATCTTGAGAAAACAATTTTGGTATTTTATAATGTTTTTATTTATTATTATGAGTGGACTTCCAAATGATCTAAATTTTAATCTAAGACAACCTATGGTTGTCTCAAACTCAGACTTGTCCACAGTATCAAATTTTCTTTGAATAAAAACATTGTATGCCTCTAGTCATGATGTGATCAGGGGCGGATTTAGGGGGGGGGGCGGCCCAGCCCCGGTTCCCCCCCTTTTGGAAGGTAAAGAAAAGAAAAAAAAAGGAAAAAAGAAAGAAAAAGAAAAAAATGATAGCCCACAACGCCTCAAATGTTATTTTTGGGCGTTTAGAACACAAAAATTTCGGACCCCCTAGGACATTGTCGTCCTGATCGGCCAAAATTTCGCCCCCACCCCCCTTTTGGACATCTCTGGATCCGCCCCTGGTGATGTCATGTTTAGGCATGTCGCAAGAATTCAAAAATGTAATGAAAAAAAGAAAGAAAATGGTTGCATTGTTTGCTCTTTATGAGGTTTTTTAACTTGGATAGCTTTGAGCTAGCTTTTTGGTAACATTTTTGGTGTATCCACAAGGAATGGTCTAGTCATACATAATGTAACAGTAGTTTTATTTGAGTTTATTTCCTGACTCATCATATCCCTCTGACTTGGGAGCTAAGAAAATGATGGGGCAGTTTAATAAAACCACTTATTACAGTAGTTTTACTCATGTGATGAAATATGGATCAAAGCATTTAACAAATAATTGCACATTTGCGGCTTACTGTATATAATCATTTCCATTTTATATTGTTAATTCTGAAAAACTGTAGGATAAATAGATTATGAAACTCCTTCAGAAGCATCAGATCCATATCAGAAACAAATCCATATCAAAATCGCATACTTTTGTGTTGCCGAATAAAAATGGCACTTAAAAAAAATAACAAAAATTGTTATTCTATTATTCTTTTGTAAATGGCTATTGGCGAGACATTGGAAACCCGTATTAGCCTAGAATACTGTAAGAGCTCTTGATTTTTCATTACATCCGAATATTGCAACCATTTTCACACAAGTACCACACTGCCAGCGTAGTAATTGTGACAGTTTGATAACTTGTTTCTATTACTTGACCATTCCTGAAATTATTGCGCATTCAAAACTACCATATAGCTTGTGATGAGATAAATTAAGATTAGTATTATTTCTAATCTATGAATGGCTATTCCTTTGATTGTAAATTGGTTTAAAAGGTTGGAAAATAAGGAATGAAATAAGGTTGAAGTACATAGAGCAGTAGACATGTTGTTATAAAAACAAATTTTGTTCAGCCTTTTCTTTACATTTTGCATTTCATGTCATGCCAAATTCTAATTACATACTCCTTTCCAGATTTGATTCTCAAACTCTCATTTTCAAATTGTAGAAATGATCAAGAAGACTTCAGATTTGTCAAAGGTGTTTCTTTAGATTTTTACCAACATTCAGTAGCAATGGTTACATCTTGCACGCATCAACCATGCGAAGATCCATGTGATCGTGACATGCCCATGCAGGTGTGATCATCTCTATGTTCTGTTGATGCGAGGAGGTGTCTTCTGCTTCCATGCGTGGTCTTCATGTAATCACAGATCTTTTTGTGATCGTGTACTGTCTCTCATGATCATCATCATTCGGTGAGTATTATTGTTCCGCAGGTTATTTCTGCGATTTTATTTGGTCTCAACGTATCGTAGGTCGAAGTTGAATTTGGCATATTGTACTTGACATTACTTCCTAATAAAAAAAAAGAATTATGAAAAATGTGTAATGATAGATGAAAAATACAATTTAGTATCTTCATTTGATTTATTTGCATAATCATTTGATTTATTTGCATAATCATTTGTTCATTTGCATAATCATTTGATTCATTTACATAATCATTTGCATAATCCTTTGATTAATCAAGGTAATTCAACAGAAGGACGCACATCTCCGCTCTCGAACATAGCGCGTGCATACAGTCCTTTGATCTTTACTGTGGCATCGACAATCCGGTATTAGTTGCGAGTACAGCCGTCAATTATTAGTCTATGCGTGCCATTCATTTTATGGTGTTAGTTTTTATTAATTTAATTTTGGGTACTTCGCAATGTTTGTTACATCTGATTTTTTTTGACTGCGAGCTTGTTAAATGCTTCTATAAACTGTGATTTAATTTGTGAAAATTGACCAAGAAAATGAAAAGTTATAATAATAATAAATTTAACCACTGAAAATATATCAGTTATTGGCAGCCATTGACTAGAAAATCTAGTTGGCATATTACATCTCATGATTAGAATATATTATATTTAACAATCATCCTGTATTATATTATGTTGTAAATACATATTAATTAGAAAAATTAGCCATTATTTGGAAATATTCAAACTAATTTAACCATTTAAAAGAGAATCCTGCAGTCATGCATTTTTTTTTTTTTTTAGATATATACCATACCATTCCTTTCTTTTTCTCCTCCCTCCAATTAGGCTGAGCTACTTATATTAATATCAATATTAATATTAATTTTATATTATTTTTATTTT